ATTGCCAGTCAACTACGAACTTTGTACTATTAGAAGGAAAGATACTCCTCCATGATGGAAGAGGCACAATATCCAACCTTGATAACACCGATCATTGTAGAACTCAAAGAGGCAAATGTGTCACAAACACCAGCATTGTCTTGTGGAATAATACCGAAATCCACAAATATTGCCTATATTTGTGTTGGAAGATTTGACGCTATAAGATACGGTGATCATTTTGTTATCAGTGAATTACAAGCCTCATTCGTAGTGGATAAAGCCAATCACACGAGAACAAACTCTAATTGTAATTTTAACTATCCTTATTTCATGAAAGGAAATATCATTCTGGATGTAGATAACAACACTAACGAGATTCTCACAACTCCAAATCCGGAAAACCAATTAATCATGATGAAACTTTCTACAGAAGAAACAATCCAAATAATGTAAAGTTTCAATATATAGTTGACTCTCTTAGGCGAGAATTTATCCAGCAACTCAAGGTAGCTTATCAAAGAAGCTGTCAGAATCGGAATAATTTATTATATCTGATTGAAAATTTGTCCAAAACTCATCCTACTCTCGCAACAAAAATGCTTTTACAAAGGAATGATGTAATAGCTAGATGGACAACTGGGAAACTGTTGGTAGCACCTTGTAAGACAACTGAAATCCCACGGCAAACAATCGAATTCAATGGAGGATTAATAAGTAAATTTGAAATCGAAAAATCCAACGCTGAATTGAAGCTTTTGAGTAACAATCATGCTACACTTAACTTCATGCCACATCAACAAGTGGACGAATTTGAATGGGAAGAACTTACAAAGGAAGGACAACAATTAGCAAACCAACTGGCGGACGAATTCGACCGAGTCTCCGATTCTATACAACAGGAAGTTGAGATCGCTATAACTCATTGGAAATTAATTATCATTTGTATAATTATCTTGATTATATTAATTGTACTAGTTATTCTCAAGTTAAAACTCGACTTACTTAAGACCTTATTATGTCCATCCCATAGACGAAATTCACGCTCTAACCGTGTTATTTTCCTTCCTACAAATTCAGTGAATCCCCAAACACTCAATAATGAAGCTAAACGTTCCGTCATAAAACTCAGTACATTTTCATATACACCTGAAGAATACTCATTTGAACTCCCATATTAATTCTTCTACAACCC